AAAAATACAAAAATTAAAACTACGTGATACGAATAGACTTAATTTGAGGTTATATTGTGTTGATTTTTAGCATAAAATTAAAATTTTTGTAATTAGATGCTATTGAAACACAGATGACGCTTTTTTTTGTTTTTCAAATATTATTACCAACCTTTGAGGTCATTGTCCTCGCCCCTAACATGTCCTTGCTTGCCGCTTGCCGCCGCAGCAAATAAATCCGCTTCGTTGCAACCAATGCCCATCGAGTAATTCTCCGCACCGCAAAACAGGTTGAACACGTTTGTAAAATTTTGCATTTTTGCGATTCAATGACTCGGCAAGACAAAACCGCCTCCAGGACAACACATGAGGGTGGTGAGCTTGACGTGCAGATAATAGGCAATGTGCAGTTGGGGTAATCGCATCCCAGTTGGAGTGAGAATGCTCTCAATCAGCAGCTCAAAGGCGATAATGGCGTGATTAATGGGCCTCTTGTTTGATGCTTGGCCGCCAACACACAAATTTATTGATTTTTCAAAAATTAAAAGCACAAAAATTCTCTCTTTGGCTATGTGAACACATTGTATATTACGCACGTTTAATAATCTTATGTGATTGACTCAATTTAATTTAAGCTGCAGTATGCATATAAAATAAAAATGCCGACCGCAAATAGGCCCCAAAATATCCAAGGTTTGAAAGGACCTTCCTTTTGCGTTCGCCGGTAACCGCATTATCCTAATGAAGTTATCCTTTCCTTAACCTCCACTCATGCATGCGTAGAGCGGGGCGATATGCCTACTTTCTCGGATATCCTCGAATTCGGATCATAATAGATACTCGAGCCGAGGGAAAGGAAATTGCCAAGGGTAATGTCGTAAAAAATTGACCCGCTGATAGAGAAATCATGTTATGCTAGAGCACAATAAATAAACAACAATAGAATGCAATAAAAAAGCTTTTTAGGTCTAAACAGCATGCGCACTATATACCCAATACACTATAGGCAACCAAGTATACAAAATCTATTACGTTTTTATTCACGTGTTTTTTTTTCGTATAAATATTATATTATCATAATTAAAATATGAGTTTTTCTTTGACGCTGCGGTTTGATGAACTGAACGTGGGTAGATGAGTTAATTTTGGCATGTGCGCCCGAAGCAAACAAAAAAAAAACGTAATTAAACACGCACCCAGCACGACGCATGCAACCTATACAAAAAACGAACGCCCGAAAAAAAGTTACGATCACTAATTGATGAAAAAATGTAAATTGAACAAAGAGCGTTGTTGTGTAAAAAAAATGTACACATTTCCAAACGTTTTTTGTCGCCTATTTTAGTCTAGACACCAGATCATAACCAATCGACAGATTTTTTAGTCATTTTATAAAGTATTAAATATTAATTTAAATATTTGCGTTTGAAAATTGATTTTTTGATTTTTACTTGAAAGTTTTAACGAGATGTGTGTAATTCAAATATTCTTTCATACAAAACCTCCAGAAAACTTAAAACTTAAACTTCAAAGTTATAGTTCTCGTACGTATGAAAATTGCAACTTTACGCGCATACAGTTTCCGTTTCCTGCGTTGGAGAAAAATTTGAATGCGGGAAGGTGGAAAGTATCAAAAGTGGCGAGCGCCAACGACCTGCTGGAGACTACTTAAAAACTCGTTGAAAACTTTAAAAAATTGCCCCTTTACTTGAAGTTTCTCCTATTTTCCGCATTTCCAAACTTTTCTGATTAAATTTCACGTGTGTAAACACTCTGTATGTTGTTTATATCCTGATTGGCAAGAGCGTAATAAATCCGACGTTCGCGCGCGTACCGGAAATGATGATAATGCTCGCCGTGCTGATGTTGCGCGCTGTCCTGGCGTTCCATTATCCTTGTTGCTTCCTCCACCGGAGGCGGGTGTGATGCGAAGGGTTGGCACAACAAGGAATTAATACAAAATTTCGAAATTCGAATTCGGGTCAGCGCCTTGTCTACGTGGTGCGACCCAGTCATCGTCGTCACAATGACACATCGACGGCGAAACATTTTCCTGATTTCGCACAGGAAGAGCAGGACGGGAAGGCGGCAACAAGGACGCGCGTGCTGATGATAACCACCGCCGCAAATGCGCCACCAGACAGGACACAACAACTACGTGTGACGAGTGCCACTATTAACGCCATCACTTCATGCATTACAAGAATTCTGAGAGTAATCCTTATGGAATACTCTTTAGGGTGTCCAAATGCAAAAAATGAAAATTTTTTTTTTTATTTTAAGAAAAAAAATACTAAAAATGTTCATTTGCGCCATCTATGTTTGAATTATTTAACTGTAATTATGAATAAATCTCCATATAAACTTTCAACCCCTATTTAACACCTTTTGAATAATAATTTTCCATATTTCAAAATTTATTCTCCTATTTTAGGCTAAGATGTATCCAAAAAATCAAAGATCATCAAAATCGGTCCAGCGGTTCTTAAGTTATAAGCGTTGTAACTAACTTTTATATAAAGATCTATGTTTAATGTAAAATTTTTGTTTGCACAGTTGGTAACCCTGTTAATAAAGCAGGTGGGTATAGTTTGCGTAGGAGACCTTGTGTTCGCACATCATTTCTGCTTGCGCACGTTCTTCCGCATTACCGGCGGTCCGTTGGACGGCAGCGTCGCAGCGCAGCCCGCCCCACAGTCCTTCAGCTTCTGGTTCCTTTGCGCCCGCCGCAACCGCACACCCGCACACCGTGCGCATATTAGAGCACCGGCGGCGGCGATACGCGCACACGTTGAGACGCTGCTACGTAGCGGACGTGCCGAATGCCAAATGAGCGAGCGCCGCCGCCGCCGCACGCCCGAAACTATACCTTTGCACATGACATGACATATTCATGCTCATACAGTATGGCGTTCTTTATGCACGTGCAGCGTGTGGATAATTACCTGGAAATGTGCGAAGTTTTTTCTAGAGGATGGCGATTATTAAAATAATTGTGTAGTGAAATATAGTATGGAATAAATGTGGTTTTTATTATGTAGTAAATCGAATGCATAAATCATGATATAGTGAAATCGAAGCTTTTAGCACTTTTAGTGCTTTCAAAATTGTCAGAATCGGCTAAAAGCTTGAATAGATCATAATTTAAATAAATCGATCACTTTTTGTTGGTTTCCGTGATTTTTTTCTGTTTTAGGCAAAAATACTGCTAAAAATCCAAAAAATTCAATTTTAGGATAAAAATTTTGCTTCTTTGGTTGCATAAATATAATTTTTGCGTTTTTAGTGCTTTATTCTTTCTGCAAATTAAAAAAATAACGCTAAGAAAACAAAAGTAAAATTTTTAGATTATGATTAATGTGTGTTTGGTTGCATAATTATAAATTTAATTTTTTTGTACAAAATACTAGTAAAACCGATGATTTTCGGTGCAAGTGTGCAAAAAATGAGTATAAATACACGAATAAAAGTAACGCAAGCGATGAAACGTAATAATTGGAACTATTTTTCACGTACCCGGCCCCGTCCTGACGTCGGACTTTCCTGGTTGACATGGAAAATCAAGCAATTTGCTATTTTTTGCAACTTTTTTGTGCTTGACTCGCACAACGGACTGCGCAAAATTGAGTGAGTAGACACGACACGACGCGTGAGCACAGCGCGCATTTTTCTCCCCACGCAAAAGCCGAGAAAAAAATTGTCCACGCGCTAAATTCACAAAACTCGGGTTTGCACGAACGCGGAATGTACGAGTACGAAAACTGATGATCGCACTTAACAAGTTTTTATTACACTTTTATAGAATTATATAATGATGCAGCTATTAGTTTATTTTTTAAAGATAAAGTTTTAAAACTTGTTTGCGAAAGTTTGTAGTATGACAAAATTGAATTAGTCGTGATTAATTATTTCAGCGTCGCAGTGAAGGAATGGCAAAAATGGTTAAATAAGTGCTAATTAATTAATACCTGCTTCGCGCGCGCACGCGGACGATAATCAAGCGTGATTAAAACATGAAAGTGGATCGTGTTCTTCGCGTCACCGAACCTCGACAAAAGAAAAAAGCAAAGAAAAAAAAGATCTCCACAACTTGAGGGGCAAAAAAAAAGTTGTTCGGCGACGGGAAGACGCGAGATACTAAATCCGGAAACCAGGAATTGTGATGCGAGCTGCAAGACTAAAAGTTCCGAACTTTTTAATTATGATTAAAAGCATCAAAAGATGCTTTCGTTGCTAATGAATACGTAAAATATGAAAGTGTGTCCTGAAATTAAGACGCAAAAAAAATTAAACGTACAGCATAAGAAAAAAAAAACGAAAACAGAACAAAGCAGAACAGAAAATTATATAATATTCTGGTGAATTAAGAAAATTTAATTGAATGAAAAAAAAACATAAACAAAAGATTAGATTGATGGAATTTTAAAAAGTTATTGTTGAAAACAACTTGTTACTTTTGTAATAATTAAGTAATTTGGACTTTCTTACAAAGATATTTTCATCAACCATAATTCATTTATTAATATAAAATACAGGGTGTTTTTTTTATGAAAATTGAAGTTGTTTTTAAAAAATTGAAAATTTTGACAGACATTTTAATCGACTTTTTGAGGGATTAAATAGTATATTAAGTATCAAGTGTATAAATGGGAATTTTACTCACGAGATTGGTTGAGAGCAGCACCAGCGTCTGCTTTGACGTGAATGACTGACGTCGCATGGCATTTCATACGGTCTTGTACTGCTCCGTTGGCAAATGCGCAGGCGCAAGCTCCGTCCCGTAGATAACGCCCGTATATAATGGATATTACGCACGGCTTAGTTGTCCGTTTATAAAGTACTACTTTTTTGGCTAAAAACGTTGAAAAAAATGATGTTTTATAAGAAAGAGGAAAAAGAAAAAGATAGTATGTTGTAGTAATATCTTACCTAATAAATGAGCAACATAACCTTCAAATCCTTACCTTGTAACACGTATTCCACCCAAAATGAATAAATATTTGTGTCCCCAATGACAAACATTAATTTGAAAACTTTATCAAACACAAAACTAGTTTAACAATTTGTAATTGTATATAGAATATTCCAAAAGCTAAAATCTACAGAGACAAACATCCAAAATACAAACCCAAAACAAAAATAATTTAAACAAATATTTTCCTCTGTCATTTCACCGCTAAAACATTTACAAACTATCAAAACTGATCCGAATCAAAATGATTAATCCTACACCTACATATTGACTTCTCTGTATTGATTGTTCCGCATCGACGTATTTAGAGCGCCGCGTGCACAAAAAGCACCTTCAATAGCCGTGCTGTAATTAATGGATGCCTGCTATTTACCCCCCGCCGCGCAAAGTATCAGATTCACCTTGGGCCTTCAATTCGCATTCACCAGTTTAGCACGCTCCACCCACAGACCCACACTGTCGCCGCTCGTCAATGTCAGCGGACAAACAAAATCAGATTTCCATTGCATTTCCGCCGAGTGCGCCATTCAGGCGATGTGCATCATTCATTGACATCAATGCAAATATGCATGCTGAATGTGTTGGTACTTGTAGTATTAGGTTTTACGGTTTCATTTTACTGGTGTTGCAGTGATGGTAGTAGTAGATTTTGACGTGCGCTGTAAATTTGAGCGTCAAGTTCAGCATCCTACAAAATAATAAAAATATAATTTTTATTTTTAAAAATAAAAAATAATAGTACTTTTAGTACCAAGTGCGCTAAATGGCATTTTAATCACGATTATGGGTAAGCGTTTAATTAATCGAAAGATTAACATCGCTTAGCCACGAGATGCTTATGCTATTTTTTCTACTACCACTTTATTTTTACTTTTGCACCATGTACAAATGAACAAAATTTTTGTGGTGACTAAAACCCGTAGCTAAAATACTTAAATCACGGCTTTAGCCTTTGGTGTTTAAATTATCACTTTTCGTGCCTCAAACTCGTAGAAAAAGTAGCGTTTTAAAAATAAAAGTTAAAAAAATTTTTTTTACTCACTTCAAAGAGGTTAATAGGAATATGAATGTTTTTCATACGAAGATCTATATCAGGCACTTCAATAAAATCATCCTCTGAATTATCATCACTGTCCCCTTCATTTTTAATCTCCTCCACCTGTGGACTTTCCTCCTTTATTTCAACTTCCGGTGACGGTATATTCAATACTGGCGGTTCCGTATCATCAACCTCTACTTTTATAGATAAATACGGGTCCAACGCAGGCACTTGATATTGTTCTACCACTATCGGTTGATATTCCTGCTTAATAATTTTACTTGGATCATACCATTCATTCACAACACCTCTCTGAGACTTTTTCGGAATTTTGAAATTTGAATTGAATGACGGTGTCGAAGTTATCATGGCTGTCGCGTTTAATTGCTGGGAAGTTATGGTAGAATATTGTTTCCAAGTTTCATCTATAACCTCTCTCTCTGTTTTAATCATAGAAGAAGGAATAGAAATAGGAGCAGGCATTTTGATGCGGGAATCGATATTGGGTTTACGTATTGGTTTCTTCGCTGAGCTGGGTTTAATTTTTGATGGTACTTCAAAGGGACCGATTAATTCATGCCAGGTTGCAATAGATGTACTTGAATTACTCGTGGTATCACTTCTGGGGTCTGTCATTTTGATTTTCTTCCCGCCATAAATAGGTTTGGATGGTTTTGGACGTGGTTCTATTTTTTCTACTTTTGAATGTCTTTGGTATTTTCTTTTTTGAGTAGTGCTGGTTTGTTTCGGTGGAATTTCTTTGGTTTTTTTAGAAGTGGAATGTGTTTTCTTCACGGGAGGTATTGCAGGTTCTTTGAATGATAAAATATCACTCTTTTTAGATTTATTCTCATCTAAATAATAAAAAATTAGTAAAATTTTATTTGTGATGCAATAAATTAACTCACTATCCTTTTTTAATTGTAATTTTTTAATTCCAAATTCTCTAATTTTATGTTCAATAGATCTTCCTGGAGTTCTCGGTGTACCATCTGGATTCAATTCAAAATCAACCCCTGCCTTATACTCAAAGAAAAATATTTCACTATCCATTGCAATCATATAAAGATTTTACACAAAACTGACAAACAAGCATAATAACAGCAATAAAAAAATAAACAATTGCTCCCAAAGCCTGCTCAGATATATTTGATATTTGTTAAGTTGATTTTTGTGCATGTAACGAATGTATAATTGGAAACGTGACGCAGAAACGTGCGGCGAGAAAAGTGAAGGACCCGAAGGACGCCGGGTAAAAGTTGTGTGTGCGTTCGTCCTGTGCAAACAAGATTCAAGGGATGGACGATGTCGTCGCACAAGTCGCGCGGCTCTAAATTAAATTATTCCTATTGTGCGGACGGCGCGCTGCGAGCGTTTCTGGATTGGTAACAAGACAGAAACTAACCGCCGCGTGGCAAGTGGAAACCAAACACTAAAGTCAAAAAACGGGAGTGAAATCAACAAAGAAGCTTAAATTAAAGAAAACAAAACTTTATTTTTTAGATATTCATTAATTTGGAATTTGCATGATTTAAAATAAGTATCTATACTTATAAAATAAAATTTTGTTAGTTACAACACTTATAACTCAAGAACTGCTGGAGAGATTTTAATATTCAATGATATCTTGGATTGGTTTTTACCTTAAATAGGAGGATAACAATTGAAATATAAAAAATTGTAATTCAAAGGGTGTTAAATAAGGGATGAAAGTTTGTATTTAGATTTAACCACACTTATAGCTTAATAATTGAATCCGAGATGGCGCTAAAGTGCATTATAAGCATTTCTGATTTATTTTATATAAAATATCTTATTCGTGAAATCTTCTTCTATTTATAATTAATTGTCCAAATGAGCAATTACTGGACAATTGAGATTATACCGCCGCATTAGACAATTCCGTTGATCTTAGAAACGCCAACATTGATTGTTGTGGCAAACGAGCACGGGCGGAAATCAGTGGCGCGCTAGAATTAACTTGTACTTCCGGACACTACAGTCGCCGTGCGAATGTAAATGTAAATGTAGCGTAAGTGCAAGTTTAGTCTAGTGTGGTCTAGTGTGTATTGGGTTAAGTCCTGGTGTAGTTCACTCCAGTGTAGTATAGAGTATAGTGCGATGCAACGTGGTGCTTCTCAGCTAGATCAGGATGCGGATGTGGGGGTGCTGGGAGCAAGTCGGAACGTCGGGGCTGTTGGGGGTTAATCCGTGAAGTAATCGCGCGTCGCCGTTTATCGCGTGGCGAACGGCAAACGGCGGCGACGCGTTCTGATCTTGTCGTCCTATCTACGCCATTGCTATCGCGCTATCAGTATTATAATGTAATTGTGAATGCAACTAAGATTTCAACTAGGAAATTTTAACATTTAAGGTTTTAGACCATAAGTAATAACAGTATAAATGCAAAAATGTATTTTTTAAGTTTTTATAAGTTCTTTTTTCCTATTTTTCTTCGTTTTTTGTCTGTTTTTAGTCAATTTTTCGGAAAACACTCTGTATCTCTTTTTAAAGTTAGGTAATTTGAGATTTCTCATTGTCAATTGAAAGCCTAGATTGTCCTTTACATAATTTTTATGTTTTCCACATTTTATACCTCTGGAAAATACCCTAAAATGTCTTTGAAAAATAATATTTTTTCCAAAATATCAAACAATTGATATTTTACCACATACTCTCTAAAAATTACAAGTAATTCCAGTAATACTTAATTAAACATTTTAAGCACATTAAATATATATGAGCTGCTTCTCTTTCCGTGCATATTTTAGTGTTCATTGCATGCTTCCCGAGCTGTTATCAGCGAAGACCGTTCACGTTTCCTCTGCCCTCGCCTCGTCCTTCATAGCTGCGAGCAGTTCCCTTTGAACGTTAAATGAATAAAAGTCTGTGAACCATCTAGAACATTGTGCTTAACATTGTACATAACATTGAAAATTTGTTAATATTAAATTATATATATATATATATATATCAGCTCCTTTAGGTTTTACTATTTTCCTGTCATGAACAATAACTGGTTGTTGGTTTAATAGCAGAAAAAAACAAGTTTTGTGAAAATCTTTGTAAAATGTGTATTGCCCCAAAGGCAAATGCGCAGGCGCAAGCTCCGTCCCGTAGATAATACCCGTAGATAATGGATATTACTCACGGTTTGGCTGTCCGTATATAAAATACCACTTTTTGTGTCTAAAAACCATGGAAAAACAGGCGTTTTATAGATGAAAGTAGAAAAAATTAAATTTTAGCCTCTTTCACATTAAATACCATTAGATTTACAATGAAACTCTCTAAAATAACAAAAGTAATAAAAATTACAATCTTCATTAAAATCTTATTATGATAAACACAAAGTTAGATATAAGATATAGATATTACAATCGTTATCGTCATTATCTCTCACCTTGCACTTGTTCTTCGCAATTTGCGATAAAGATTCGATTCCAGCGATGAGATTTCAGATTTAAGGCAAGCGCGATTCACATTTCGACTTTTCCAACATTAGATCTGCGCTCTTCATGAAGCACAAAAGTCGAAAGTCGTTAAATCGGACGTGATCGAATGTGCGAAACGTGCGAAACTTCCGAATTGCATCGCAAAGCATTAACACGGCGAATAATTTCAGTTACACGCCTGCAGCACGTGATACCAGTAAATGTTGAAGTGAAATATATGTGAAACTAGGTTAAGTTGACTTAAGTTAGGTTAGTTTTTAATGCTGCGCGTCACGCTGGGTGTAATGAGGAGAATTGTAACAAAATTAAGTACGAGGCGATTTTGTCGGTTGCTTGGCGACGCTCTCATTACCGAAGTCAGCATTTTCTAAGCCAGGATTAACCGAATTGCATTCATGCAAGGATGCAGTCAAGGATACCAAAAATTTATATCGAAAAATCAATAGAAAAAAATAAATAAAAATTAATATTGGAAAAAGTAAATATCATTTGTGAGTTAATTAATGTGTATTAAACATTAATTTGCATAAATTGGTTATGAACATTACAAATTAATTTACATTTGCATTCGATTTGTTTGTTATACCATTGCAGAATGGAACATTACCTGCGTTGTTTACGCGCATGTCGATGTTGATGCGTTTGCGAAACTTGCGTCGGTGGCGGCGGCGGCGGTGGAGACCATAGGCGGTGGAGGCGCCCGCCAAACGTTCAGTTGGTATCCGACCGCCGTCGCTGGCACTCGTTTAAACGAGCCGGGCTTAGAAAACGCGCGCATTCGCGATAAATTCAAAAAGTTCAATTAAAATTCAAATCAAACATCAAAATAAATATTATTTCAACATCATGTTCATCTAATACACAGTGTAGTAAATATTAAAATATCAAAATTATTATTAATATAAATTAAAATTATTGAATTATAAAATTATTGTGTTGTGTGTATTTTTTGTTTGTTTTGACAGTTAAAAGTTAAAGTGGCGGTATAGTGATTGGAAAAACGTGATTGTGTGCATTGGATATTGTGCGTGCTGTTTGAATAGGGCCGAGGATAATAAAGCGCGAGCAAAGGAAGAGTCTTTGGAGGCGGCGTCTTAATTGAGTGGCGGCGCCCGGCGTGATTGCCGTTAATTGGAAGGCGCGACATGTGGCCCGAAATTAATTAACACCACGCTCGGCCGGCGCGATATTAATTAAAGGTATGATATTAACAATCAAAAGTATTTTTTGGGGTTCATTGTTTTGTTCAACTATTATTCATGTGTTCCAAGAGTTTCATTACGTAATTATGCATATAATAAAGCAATTATTTGCTTAATTAAATTGAATTTCACAATACTTCTGATTTAACTAATATTTTTTGATTTTTCGCTATTTTAAAACATTTAGAAAAATCAAATAAAATTATTTTTATAGTTGTTTTAATAAAGCAATTATTTGCTAAATTAAATTTTTAATTATTTTTTATCATTTGAGGAGTTTTTGCGGTTTTAAACATTTAGAAAAATGTATTTATTTATATTTATTTATTTATTTTGTAAATAATAAATTGTTTTTGCAATTTAATTATTCCGTATCATATAACTATATTTTTCATATTGATTTTAAACTTTTAAATAATAAAATTGTTTTCAACTGAAAAAAAAAATGATTTTTTAATTTTTGTTTATCAAAAAATGAATTTCTATTATTTCCCAAATAAAATACTGGATTAACTAAAATTGTTACTTCCATTAACTCTATTTTAATGATGATAATATCTAACTTATTTAATTTAACTTTAATGATAAATAAAATAATGCGTTTAATATAGTTTCAATGGCAATTTAATACGATTACCTTTTAATGCTGCTCGCCGAGTGTTTACTGTTAGCCTTTTACACGCTGCCGGTTTTATGTTTTACTGTTGAACTTCTGAATTGGCAATTAGCCGATAACGATCGATGGAGAATCACTCGCCACCGCTGCAAATTGTTGTGGAATAGTTCCGCTCGCGCGCTCACCTGAAATACCCCGTGATTTACGCGTGGGATAATAATAACGCTGTCATAAACTAAAGTTACCTATATAACGTGCTGTGATATGCTGTGACAATATCATTTCGAGAGAAATTGCGTGGTCGCGGTATTTTTCGAGAGATGAAACTGCAATTTGAGTTGCACTCGACGAAATAATCAGTATTAAATTAGTTTCTTGTGCGCGCAGCATTTATTGTCTGTTTGGGGTGTGCTGAGTTGTTAGTTATTGACAACATTGTAATTGGTAACAAAGTTTACAAGTGTGTTTAATTGCGTTTTGGGGGTGTGGCTTGAAAATTGTTTTAATAGACAATTTTGAATCTCGAGTTGATGATAAATTTAATTCCTTGAATGAATTATAAAATGTTATTGTGTAATTAAAATGTGTAAAATTATATTTTATGTTATATTATTTAATAAATATGTAAAACTGCTATTAAAATATAAATTGACGAAGCTTTTAAGTATATTTCATTAAAAATTAATTTTTAACGCACAAATAACCTAAAATAGTATATTAAGTATCAAGTGACTAAATGGGGACTTTACTCACAAGATTGATTGAGTCTTTGAGTGTTTAACAACGTTTAGCCACGGAATGCTTACGCGGTTTATATTTCATTAAAAAACTCATTTTTAACGCAAAAATAACCAAAAAGAAATTAATTATTTATTTAACAAATTTGCACTGAAAATTATCATGTGAATAAATAGGTTCATTAAAACTTGTATTAAAAATTTTAGTTTTAAGTTTGAAGTATTTGTATGCGTTTGCGTGTGAGCGTAAATCGCATTACGGCGCTATGATAAATCCGATGAGTAAATATTGATACGCGTGCACACACGGTGCTCTTTGAGCTTTCGCTGTTGAACTAGGTGTCGGAGGCGGCCGTCACGTGGGGGTGCACGTTTGGCACGTGCAGGCGGGCGGCGGCTTGCTGCTAAACGATACACGCTCGATGATTTATTTGCGCAAACCTGCAGCCGGTCGCGCAATCATCCTGGCAATCTTCTCACACATCAAATTGGCTCCCAGCCAAAGCAAAACGCGATCAGAAACGCAAAAAACATAAGGTTTTATTTTATTCTTTAGTATTAACTACAGGGATAGTTTTAATACACTTAGTTGATATAAAATTGAAGTAAAAATAAGAAAAATCACAATAATTAACAAACATTCAAATCGTTTGAGTTTTTTTTTGGTTTTGTTTTTTGTTATGTCTGGTTGAAAACAAGTGTAATATGTAATGCGTAATTGAAACGGTTTGTCCGCCACCGCATTCTTTCCCCTTGTACTCCTCCTTTTTTTCGTTCGTTATTTGTGAGTACATTTTACTGTTTTACGTTCAAATTAATGGCCCAACCAACACCATCGCGCACAACCATTATTTTGTTTTGCACGCTTTTTGAGAGGCGCGCAACTTTTATTTTTGAATTCCCGTAAAGCAGGCAGCCAGTCGATCAACAGGGGCGCAGTCCACAACATTTGTATTTATTCGCGAGGCGAGTGTGTTTTCGAATACAGCGCGCGCAGTTTTGTTAATCAACTCCATGCGGTCACGAAAAACGCAAAACATTTACTCGACACGCGAAATGTGAAGCGCACACTTTTTTATTTACCTCCCGAAACACAACAGCAATTATATTGCTACTTGCAAGAGTTGATGGGTTGGAAATCATTTATAAAATTCAAAAAAACTAAAAATGGTTTTGTTTGTTTTTAATGATTTTTTATCGAAAACAATTAAAATTTAATTTTTAACTTCTGTCAAACGCATTGGCGTTGAGCTGGAAATTAATTATTTTTATTTTTTTGCGGGAAAATATAAAGTTATTGTAACTCTTGAATCTTTTTATTGAATTTTTTGCTCATCCATTCATTGGGCCACCCGCTTAAATAGACTTTTCATCTGGTGCCGTGCCCGGACGTTTGGTGCGCGCCCGGAAAAGCGCAAAAAAGTGTGGCCTGAAAGTGGCTCTCTCGCGCGCTCGTTAAGGATGTGACAAGTGACAAGAGACAAGATTTCGTCGCGCTTCTCGCCGCTTTTCCTTCCTTACAACACCAAAAAAACGAGAAGAAAAAACGAGAACCATACCCAGCGTTCTGAAACTCATCATCTTTACTTTATCTGTTAATATTTATTGTGTGATAAGTTTGTGCAACGCCCAGTGGTTTAATACATGTTAAGAGTTTTTGATTGTGATTTTTCGCATTCTTTACGCGTCCGCCACGTGCGACGTTTACTTTTTCTGCGTGACGCTGGATCATGGCGTGTGCAGAGGGCGCCACTACGTTGATGGAGGTTATGTCAGCGGTGCGCGGTGAGAGAGGACACAACATTCTTTCGCATTGAGATTTTTGTACGCATCAGTCATCGTTCCGTGTGACAGCTTTTTCCGTGCACGCGCGCGCTTTTTTCTTTCTTCAAAGCATAAAAGCACGTCGTGCCCCGGCGTTTTTGTTTCTCAGGATTGTATCTTGTATCTTCCATTTTGAATCTTGTATCTTGTACAGGAGACATGGTCATGTCATGTTTCTTTTTTTCCTGTCTTGCGTTCCTGACATTGTGCGTGAATCTGATAAATACACGGATGATTTTAGGTTTAGCATAAACGTTGCGTGCGGCTGGGTTTTGGCGAAAACGCGATTTTATGATTCTCACGTAGTATGCGGAAAATTGCGTTTTCCAATTAAGGTTAAACGTGTCTCGGGCGCGTCTTAGTCACTTTTTGAGCGCATGCAAACAAACAAAGAGGCGCGCGGCAAAGTTGTGGTTTGATGTGGAGCAACAAGGCGGAGAAAAGGCCTTTGCTGCGACAGTTATGACAAGGACATCGACATCGACATGACAAGGAGCTTCGCGGTCGATGCGCCTCGCACGCTGGAAGATTTTCAACAAAAGTTGCCAAGTTGCTTCTCAACATACCAATAAGTATCAAGCGACAAGTGCGAAGCAACAAGTTTTTACTAAATTTTATCGAAAATAATAATAATAATGATATTAAATTAACTTGGAAAGTTTGCAGAACATTTTACATTTAACTCAATATGTATGTGTATTTGGTTGCCTATATAACGCTTAATATTGATCACAAATAAGTTTTTGTCCGTTCTCGCGCTATACGATCTCAATTGGTGTTCGTGTGTCCATTTGGCTCGCGTGTCGCATCGCATCCGTTGACATGTCAGCTATACGTATAAATTGATACACTTGCACGCATCTTGACGCGCCATGAAAACATCTCAACTACGCCGACGACACTCGATATCATCGCCGCAGCCTAGTTTCACTTTTCTAATACTTGTCGATATTTCACGTCGTGTTACACCATCGCAGCGCGCACAACATTGATACTTTGATGTACGCCTGCGAGTTGCAATCGAATTTACCTGAGTGAAAACGTGGAGCTTCGTTGGAACAATGCGCAAAGTGCAAGATGTGGAAAAGTGTTAGAGTAAACATCGCACGCTTGATATTTATATTGAAGTGGAAAGACTAAAGTCTAAAGTCTAGAGTGAAAAGTGTTCAACACTGCGCGGATAGAATGTTGAGTGGAACGTATTGGACACCTTCGAATGGATTGCGTTTCATTGTTTTTGTTATTTTGCACTTATCGGTTTCAATTTCAAGTGGGTTTTGTGATATTTGTCAGTGTAGATATTTTATTAATACGTTTCATTACTTTGCTGCAAGTTTAACTACTCGCACGATTAATACTAAATTATTCAGAGTTAGTTTTAGTTAGTTTAACATATTCAATAACTTAGAATGGAGTTTGGAACTTTACTCACATCAAAATTATATTATTAAATTAATATAATTCTAAAGTTTTAGACTAAAGCTAGAAAATTGTTTGATATTTGATTTGTACTAAAATATAATAATATGTTATGTAACAAGTGCGCGGAATGACACTTTAACAACGTTTAGCGACGTGGTCCTTAGGTTATTTGTTCTGTTTCCACTTTATTTCTAAGTTTAATTTAATTCTATTTGAATTTTTGTATTTTAAATCTTTGAAATTTGCTCGCACACTTCTAAAAGTTTTACCCCGTGACAAAAACCCGTGGCTAAAGTTGCGGTTTATAGGTTAAAGTAAAAAAAGTAATTAATAGTAAAGATAATTTCTAAAGATATTTTTTGTTGATGAAAATTTATTTGATTGGATTATGACGCAAT